TCCATTCCGAGTCGAGCACGCCCGTTACCCCAACCGCACTGCTTCTCCTCTGTTTAATTAATTAACACCGTGCCGAATAATAATTATCGAAATGAAAGATGGTATCGGTCCGCTTATTTATCGGTGCACCCCGATATCGTAGTTATATCGTATCACACGCTCACCCTCGACGCCGTTAACCGCGTCGAGCTCTCTCTCTCCTCTGTTGCTAGCTACCTACGAACGCGGAAGCGGCCGATAAACTCTATCTAAACGCGGCTGTCCTAATTGATTCATAAATTAATTTACCGACCCGGTCACACGCGCATTATTATTAGACGTTTTGAACGACCACGCTTCCCTTCTACTCCGTGTTTTCGTCCCTTACAGGAGTGACAAAGTTCCTGAAGATATTTCCAGAGTTAGGACACATTCATAGACTTCTACCTTGCGTCTCTCTGCTTTCGTTCTAACTTCATCTCCCTTAATGCCTTTTTTTCCCTCGGTCTTGTTGCTTGGTCGTTGTATTATTCAGATTCTTTCTCGCCAAAAAAGCCCCGCGTTTCCTCCTCCAAGACGAAAGTAAGATCAAGTATCACACCATTTGCAACTTTATGTATGTGAACGGAATACTCGACGATGTTGTATATATTTTTGTATCATTATTGCAATTGTATTTAGAGGAATTTAAAAATATTTTTCCAGGAATTAAACTTTATCGAAATTTTTTAAAATGCTACAATTCAAAAAATAATGACTCTTGCAAATGAACCATCATTAAAAGCGCGGAAACTTGTTCTTTAAAACGCTTTTTTGCTTATCTTGATACGACTTCCTGATCCTGAGATATTGTCGTATAAAGAAAAGGATACTTTTTAGTCTTTTACCATTTTCATCCTTCTCGCTTCTTCACACTGACTTATTCGAACGAATCTCTATTAAATTTTCTTATTAAAATTAGGAAAAATTTAAGCCGTTATAACTTTGAAGATTGTGACTTCCGGTCGATGAATAAATGATCATTAGAAGCTTAAAATGCTTTTTCATTTATATCTATATAATTTCTGATTCTCGAGATATCATCGTGCAAAGAAAACAGTGATTTTCAATCGCTTATTAGCGTTCTTGTCGCTTACATTGACCTAAAACCTTAAATTCTAGACAACTGACAAACGCAATTCTTGGAAAAACGATTTTTAAATGCTGTGGAAACTTTTTAACACTCATATCTCTATAACCGATCCAGATATCGGGATGAATCAAAAAGCGATTTCAATGGTATGCTTTCCTACATATATATATATATTTACCCTGACTGTTCTCTGATACTAAAGTCTTTCTCTCGCGCTTTTCACGCAAAAAGTCAAAGTTCCATTGTGAATTTAAGCGATAGCTGCTAATAAAGGCTTTACTCGTTCTTTGTATTCTTATAAGAGTCGTATAGGATCGATTAGATCGATCCAGGTTTGATTTACAAAAAAAATAGAGTTTTTCATGGTTCGATGATGGACGATATAGAATGGACAGTGCGTTTTATATTTCTCGATATTAAACCAAGGTAACGGGATTACAGCGATCGGTGGCGTGCAACGATCTGCTTGGTGCCGGAACTCCCGATAATTATGTGCCAATTAAATTTAACGACTATCCATTATTCTGGTCTGCGAACACGCGTACAGGCTCCCTACTTTTATCTTCCTCTTTCTACCAATCCCGACACCCCTTACACCATTTACTCTGTCCCCCATCCCCGTTGCTAGTCTGGGATCGAGCGTTGCACACTGGCAACAACTAGCCAGGTCGAAATCCAATTACCTTTTAATATTGTCCGAATGGGCTTGAAATCGAATTGCCTTTTGCAAAACTCCACATGGTCTGGTTGAAAAACTGCGCAGGATTCCTGCCAGCAAATAAATGTTCCTTCGGTCTATACTTTCTTTCTCACATACATCGAAACGTTCTTGAGCAGCATCGCGTCCTCTCTTTTCTTTCCACGTTTCTTCCCCATCCCAGCACGATTCTATAGGGTAAAATGTCGCTCGACACTTCCAATGGAATTGGAACGCGGATCGAGATTATGGTTTTACACGATTAGACTTAAATGCACGTAAGTGATATAGAGCAGAAGACACGTACGTAGGATGTACGATTTTCTCTGAATCGTGTCTGGTTTCCAATTAAACAATCGAATGTAGTTGGTATTTTTAATCATTGTTAATTCTGTTGTAATTTTTCATTTTCTTTAAGTCGAAAAAAAAGTCGAAGAAAAATTTTTACTCGATCTATAATGATTATAATTATTTTCATGTATAAACGTTCTTTAATAGATATGTAAATTTCAATATTCGAAGAATTTTCGTCGAATTAAAAATTCTTTTTTTTTTTTTTTTTTTTTTTTTCATTGTCCACTCGCGTAATTGTTTTACCTAAAGCGTAGTAAATGAGCAGAGTATTTTCCGTTTTTTCGGTCGGTTCTTATTAAGAATTCAAGCTCTTTGACCGCAGATTTTCCCCCCTTGCTGGATCGTAAACAGCGATCGTTTTCCAAACCCATTAAAAGCGTGATAACAACCTATCGCTGCCCACGAAACTTAATTAGCGAGCTCGGTTGAAAAAAAAAAAAAAAAAAAAATTCTAGTATCAATATTTATCGCGCAAATAGGCAGGAATAAATTGTGCCCGTTTGCACATGCTCATCGATTCATGGATTTCACTCGATAATTAACGTTATCCCGAACGATAAGAATATTTTCCATCGTAATTAAAAGATATTCCCGTCGCAACACCGTTCCATTGGAAAAAATTCTTAAAATAAATTTCGATTTGATCCGATGAAATACAAACGATCCGTACCATTCGCTAATCAAATACCGGCCATTTTTCAGTAACGCCTTCCTGGTCTAGAAACTGGTATTCCGTAAGGGAGACCTTTACGCGCGCTGCATAAAAATCATTGGGCTTCGTATCCATTCTTCAAAAATATTTAAATTCCACAACGAAGCGAAACGTGCCTTTCCTTCGGTTTCTATATCAATTTTCTATACATTCGTACGCGTTCCCACCAATTCCTTTATATAATAAACGGATGGTTTATTGATCGAAGCAAATCCGTTCTTGTAAAACTGTAAAGGAAATATAAACGGAATATTAATTTTTCCCTACATTTGATTATCTAGAAAAATATATATTTTTCTTTGTTCTACGAAAAGGATCACACGATATAATTAAAACCTGTATCGTTTATAATTAATTTTTGCATTATAATTGCAAATTAGTATCACAATTTTGGTAAAGGAGAGTAAAAAAAAACGTTCACAGAACACGAACATGCTTTACCATCGTGTAAACACTCCATTGACGTTCTATGTATAGCTCAAAGAACAATCTCCTACCGAAATGTTATCAACGAATGTGATCAACGAATCAGAATAGCCGATTAGTAAACATTTACATATAAATGAGATGCTCCTTCTTGATTAACCAGGGATTTTCATCATGCGACACTTGCTCACAAGGGAACATCGATATCCCACAAATTCTAATTTATCATCATTAAACTTGCAGATTTGTAAGAAACCAACACCAAATAAATTTTTACGCTCGGTTGGACAATTGTTCGGATTAAAAGCATCACTCTAAAAGTTGGCTCGCTTTTCCTTTCACAATTCTTTCACATTTATTTACTATACAGTTTTCAAACTGAGGGATACTTTTCTTTCTGAAAAAACTGACTTATATATTTTATATCATAGTGAAAGACAAAATTAGCCTGACATTTTTACTTCAAATACTTTACAAACCTGCAAGATTTTAAACAAATAAGAATCTTTACAGTGTTAAAAATTCCCCTTGTTAGTTTTTTTCTCCTTTTTTTATCGGTAACAACAACATGCTGTCTGGAATAAAAGATTGTCCAAAAAAAAAAAAAAAAAAAAAAAAATGAAAGAAATCTTACCGTATATTTGGTACACCGTTAATAACGCTGCCGGATCTTTCCGTTGGCGAATAAGATTGCTCGTGGCAGGAGACAAGCTTGACATTGTAACTTCTAACATCAAGTTTGGGATTCGGGTTGTCGGAGAAAGGGGGTGCAGGTTGTCGGGGTTGCGGGTACAAGGAAGGAGTCGATAGGGTGAGCACCAACACAGAGTGACCACTAAACACCTAACAACCAACAATAGCAGCCAACATCGAACACCGATAAACCAACGAAACTAAACCAACCACAAGTCACATTGTAACGGAACTCAGCGAATATATATATATATATATATCATATATAGATATAGAATATAGAATATATACATAATATGTTGATTGGTGTATTTATACGTACGTGTGCGCGAAGAATGCCACTGCTTCCACGTGTAAAATTTATCTCGCGAATCGTATCCCGATTCGCGGTATCGCAAAACGGACGATCTGCCAATCTTTCTTTTAAACAAACAAAAAAGAAAAAAAAGAAGAAAATGAAGAACAAATAGCCGGGATAACACGTATGTATGAACCACCACCGGTCAGGGAGGATAACTTTAAAAAAAAAAAAAAAAAAGTTAAACAACTGTGAAATTGTTCGATTTAATTAAAGCTCTATTTGCACGAAAACTGAAATTCGACGGGGGCGGCGGTTTAATCAAGGGGAATGAATATACCGCGAACGAAAATTTGTTTTCATACGAGGCATGTAGTTGTCAGGTAATGGAAGAATAGGGTAATTATAAACCGAGCTATGAAAGCTTCGTAACGATACGAACAACATTTTACTCGATAGTTAATTTAATGGTCGTGTCTCGGGTCCCGATCGCAGCGCACTCTCTTCGCCACACGTGCGTCGTACACGCACAGCGAGGGCGTAAATCATTTTGTCTGTTGGTTCTCGTGACACCGAGTTTCTCGTTAAAAAAAAACACTGAGGAAACACTAACTGTGAGGCAACGACAACGTAAAAAAGTGAAACACGTTAAAACTTAATAAGGATGGCATATCTTTCAGAGACACCGAGTAGGGGTATGGTGACGTACCACATCGAGTACATTGAGAACGTGGTTCGCGCGGACGACTCTAGTAGTGGTAGTTGTTGTTACATTGTGTGTTGTGGTCGTGGCAAGAAGAAGAAGAGATGGAGGAGGTGTGCGGCGCCCCCGGCCAGCCGGTCGCCCGTCACACCCTGAAACAGAATAATATTGTCACTTCCGTGCTGAATCACGTCATCCCTATCGACTATCTTGTCTCGCCATTATCTAAATTCATTTCAGAATACACGTTTGATTATCTCTTTAACGTTCAATGTATAATATATATATATATATATATATATATATATTTGGAGGAGGTATAGGGTAAAGCCTATACGAAATTGGTCAAATAATTACTATTTTTCAATTAATTTGGCGATGATGAGTGTGCAATGTTTAACTTAATGAATTAACTTTGAAAAAAAATCTTCCCTTCTTCGACGATTTAAAATAATTTTCTTTTTTTTAAACAAAAAGTTTTTCGCATTTTCATGATTACACGAGTACCATCTAAGACTCGTACCGCTGTTCAATGTTCTTTTTGCGCCCTTACTTTTTGTCAGTACGAAGAATATTTTAGGTACCCAAGCTTTACCCTACTTTCCTCCGGTACAAAATATTATTCGTGCTCTCTCTCTCTCTCTCTCTCTCTCTCTCTCTCTCTCTCTCTCTCTCGGCCCCGTATTTTCAGCCCCGACTTTCTCGGTAATTAATCACGGAGTAATCAACGATATGCAAATTTCCCGCTTAATGACGTTCCTCACCACCAATTCAAGCATACGTTTCATTTACATTTCGGATAAACGTTTTCATAATGGTATAATGAGTCTTCGATACGAAGATGCGAAGCGAAACGAAACGAAACGTACCTGTTCAACAAATGACCCTTTATTCCATCTCTGGCACGATCAATCGTATCGGTTTGAAAATGGCTAAGAGACGAAACGTTACTTGCTTCGAATCCTCCCTCCCTTCCTCCCTCCCCATCGGATAATCATCGAGCCATAATTGATAATGACCGGTGAACGATTGAAACAATCCAGGGAGGGGCGAAATGGATTTAAAAAAAGAAAAAGAAAAAACGATAATAAAACGCAATATTCGAACGTTCGATTTCCGAGTGATTCGTCCGGATCCTTGAAAATACTACGACAAGTCGAATTCACTTGTGCCGGCTGGTTTGTTCGCAGAAAGTATTGGCGCGAAGTCGCGCTGCTCAACGGAAGGACGAGGCCGAAAAAAGGGAGGAGGAGGAGGAGGAGGAGGAGAGGGTAAAGCTTTATATCGGAGGAAAAGGGGATTTCGGATTTGCCGGACCGTGTCCACCCATTGCATCGTTTACGTCCAATACAAACGAACGGACGAATGAACGGGACTAGAGAGAAAGACGGGCAGAGGATCGGTGCAGAGGGGGGAGGTCGGGCACGAGAGGGGGATGGGGGAGCAAGAGAGCGATGACGATGGAAGGAGGCGGGGTGATAGAGGGGGGAGAGGCTGCTGAGAAACGGGAGCAGCGACCGGGATTTTAACGTCGAGCACACTCGTTTCGAGTCGATAGGTCCACTTCGGCTGGCTTGGGAACCAGTCGACATGGTCCAGCAACTTCCTCTCCCACCTCAAACCCATCCTGCCTCCCTACCGTTGCTCTTATACCCTTCGGTCCGAGACATCATCTCCGTATCCGGAAACAGGGCACCGTCGTTGCAACTTTTCATCTATTTCTCTCTCTCTCTCTCTCTCTCACTAATAAAAAAGAGACACGGATCTAACCGGTTTTGGAGTCACGTGCAAAATACGGAGAAAATACGTGGAATGTATCGTAATTAACGTAATTGGATCATTTCCATCGAACCGGCCGAGTGAATTCGTAATTCGAGGAAAAGTGGCGGTGTTTATACGAGAGGAGTGGCGATAATGGGAGGAGGGGATTATTAAGGTGGTTGAAGAAAAAAAAAGGCGTGGGACGCGAGAAAGTATTATTCCGTTAAATAAGCGACTGGAGGAACGAGGGAAGAAAGAGAAACGAGGCGTGTGACGTAAAAGAGTAACTCGTGGGAATTCTGCCATATGACCTGTCCTACTAAGTGGAAAACGCGAGGTTTGCTTAACCCTAAGAGGCTCCAGTTTACGAGAACCGTATACAATTCCCTAAACTTTCATCAAAACGTAGCCATATGACGAATGGGGGGAAATAAGGTCGAAAGCGTCTATTTATACCTCTCGAAAATATGGCGAGAGAACAAGGATGGTAAAAAAAAGAAAAAAGAAAAAAAACCCTGCGTGAAACCTCGTCGACGGCGACGAGTAAATATATTTTACGAGCTGGGGGAGGAGAAAAAAAAAAAAAAATAAAAAAAATAAAAATAACGCGCGTGTATGGGAAATAATTCGTTCGAGCAATCAAATTCGTAGATGGAATAAATTTTTTATCTCAATGTTAACGGCCGGTATTTTAATAAAGATCGAATTACTAACGGATCAACAATTTACCGTGTCCGCCATTGGGAAATGAATATTACCAATGTAAAAAAGAATATATATATATATATAGGTGAATACATTGAAAATGGCGTTACAAGCAATCCGAGCGAATAATTAAATATGCGGCTCGAATACTTTTGGGTGAAACAAATCAGTGGAATTCCAATGGAGAATAAAACGCATTTTAGTATTGGAAAGGTTGGAAAATGGGAATGGATCGTCCCGATGGACGGGAACGCTTTTTATTCCGCCTCGCGAGCCAGACGCGGTGAAATTTTATTTAATGGTTCTCATATGTTGAAAACGCGCGCGCCAGTTCCTTTTTTTGAAACAATGGGGCCCGATGTAATCGAGGAAAATCCTCGCCCGCTCGCGCCGGGTTTCCGGTATTATTAAAATCATTATTTCCGCCTCTTGGTATTCGCACGGAAATAAATAGGGTGCGTGCCGCGAGAGGGGTTGGGGAGGGGAGAGAAGGATCTCGTATTACTTTCGAGAGACGTGGAAAATGGACTCGCGCTTATATACACACTTCGGATCGCGAACGCGTGGAAACGGGAATAGGCGGAAATATTACGTTCAAAGTGAGAGAAGGGGAAAGAAGGATAGCGAGGGAAGGGATCGGTAAGAGAAAGACAAACGTTGCGAACTTTGTAACGAAACCATTCACTCGAGAACTTTTCACAACTGTCACCGTTTCTCCCGCGGTAATACTTATACAACCTTATATACATCGTTCTTCGAATTTAACGCGACGCTGTAAGCGCCGATATAAAATATAAAGAAGATGGCCACCTAAAAAACTCCGCGTTCTGGGATGGAGCGACATTTTTTTTCTTCTTCTTTTTTTTTTTTTTTTTTTTTTTTTTTGTAACGGTATCGCGAAAGGGAATGAAATATAAAGGGGGGGGGGGGAGTTTTATACGCATTCGTACGGCCGAAAATTGTTATCCCTCGCTTTTTAAAGGGGATACTTTTTTCCTTTTCTTCTTTTAACAGATTCTCTTTAAAGGATCGTTCATCGCGTATCACGATATCCACATATATATATATATATATACTTTTACGTTTATTTTTTCGCAAATTTCAATTCGATTCAAGAAATTTTACATTACGCGTTATTTAGCAATCGATCGTTCGAACAAGTGACGCGTTTATTTCTAAACGTTGTTTCCGATCCGATTAAAATTTTCGCATTAATATTATACATGTATGGAAAGATGGGATAAATAATTCACGGTATACGATATAACCGAGTTAATTAAACGTGATATTTGCCTGGCACGAATATATCAATATTCATAGATTTAACGAATAATCGTAACCAAAGCGGGAGGAGGTGGGAGGAGACAAAGATTTCACAGACAAATTCGTGAAATTGAACCGCATATAATAATCAATTGGCAATGACTGTCGGCTATTAAACATATTCAATGAAGTAGCGATTGACAAGGGACGTTCTCCCTTTCCTCGTGATCGACAGGAATTGTGCGCGGGCGCGAGGTTCGGCAAAATTAATCACTCCGCATCGTTTCCACGATTGATGGCCGCGCCCAAATCAAAAACCAAAGGCGTGAATATTCGGGGATCGACGGCCTGATTTCTATTTCACGGCTGCGTATTCCACGATCGCCGTTTCCGCGAAATAAATAACACGGGAGGGGGGAGGGATACATCATACGCGTCACACGCTGGCCGCTTTGGCCCCGTCGCGAATGGAAGCCGGAGGGGGGGGGGGGGGGGGGATCCACAGCGCCACCAAGATCCGCGGGATGGGTTGGGTTGACGCGGTAATACCGGTTATCATCGCGCTGATTGCACCCATACCCACGCCCTACTGCAACTATCTTCCGCTGGAACCCGCGCCTGACCCGATATATTTCCATCCGAGCTATTCATTACGTCTATCCACCGCTCCGATCGCTCCTTTCACGGATACATCGATGCGCGAAAATTGGCAACCGTATACGGATACCTTCGTATTCATTCCACTTTCGTTATTACGAATCTTCCCCCTTTTCTCCCCCCTGATATTCGTTCGTACACGTATACGATCGAATAGATTTCACGCACGATTTTTATCATCCCTGAGGATAATTCCGAACGATAATATCAACTGTTCGCGGAAACCAATATTTTTCCACCAAGCTTGCGCTCCAAAACCGAAACAACCGACCCTTGTACAATAATATAATAATAACGCGCTTCCAGGATCGTAGCTCGAAATAAGCTCAGGTAAATCCGATATCTGGGCGAACAAAAGTGAAAACGCTAACGGGCATCGGCAAGTAAAGTTGTGTAACGATATCGTATAAATAACCTCTTTGTGTATGTGCACGTGTGTGTGCGCTCCCGCCAATGTTAATGCGCCAATGGCCGAGAGAGTGCACGTAGCGTTGCCGGGGCGCGAGATATCATCGGTAGGTGCACGGTGGGTGGAGGGGCGTGCGGGGAGAATGAACGGGGCAAATGGATAAAAAAAAGATGGAAAGGAAACAGCGACAAAAAGTTGCGGGTGCACCGTTCGTTATTCGCGCTCGTAAACACGACTCGACTCTCTCGGCAAAGGTAACGAACGAACGAGAAAGAGAGAGAGAGAGAGAGAGGGAGAAGTCGAAACGGCCACACCTTCCTTCCGAAATCCGCTCTCAAACCTCCCTGTCATTCCCCC